GCTAACCGATTTAAATTTACCCAACGTATCGCGGGCGCCCTCACCATCCTCCGCTACCCTATATACAACCGGATTCCCTGTCATAGATCCGTTCTAACCCTCCTACCCGGTCGTAGGTTTCGGTTTTGGCTCACTGTAAAATTTTGCTCGCGTAACGAAACTTCGACGCCATCCATAGTTTTGGCAAGTTCGGCCGGTAAGGCTTGTTATGTTAAACAGCAATCCAAACAGCGAAACGTAACCGATTCGAACGTACTGTCTCTCTGACCTGTGCATTGTGCCGACGACGTTTCCACGTTGGATCTATGTTTCGAAGTTAAGATCGACTGCGCGTTATAACTTTCCCAGGTATATTTGAACTCTGATTCGCACGGGAGCTAGGAAAATGTCGAAGTAACTTCTCTAACGTAAACGTCCGCCCACAACCGTAATAGTAGTTACTGAATTTTCGTAATCTCGAAATTCACCGCGGAAAATATCTCTAGCAATATCCCGACTAAATATTTTAACAGAAACTTTAAGCTATTTTGTTGAATCGATTAACCTAGTGCACGCCAGTTGTTTCCCAACAATAAGCTAGAACTATCTTAAAACACGATATAGAAGTTTATTCACCTCGAGAATCTTTCATCGCGATATTAATAACTTTGTTTACGCGCGTACACCGTGCGATATACTCCGGAAAGAAATAACGAGGAACTGCTCTCTATACTTCTAGGCGCTACATCAAAGACTTATCCCGTTGATTAGACATGACTCGTAACCATCGGAGCACGTCGATAAGCTCACGTGTCGCGATGTAAATTAACCTGACCGATACGGTTGGCCGAAACCTGGCTCTAAGGTTAAGTCGGAAAGGGATGGCGGTTATACGATCCCAGTATGCTGTACGTAGCTATCCTTGATGCGATCCTAACGCCGTTCGCTGTCTCGTTTCTCGACCCTTCTTGCTCCCGAATTCTCGTCTAACCCTACGAAGCTTAGCTTAACCCCGAGACGCCACAAGAGGCAATTAACCTTCCGCCAACCCCTTGACGCGCATTGCACCCCCCTCCCTTTCAGTTCCTACTGCTGTCTCCAGTCGTTCCGTTTCAACCACTACCCTCTGACCTTCTCTATCCCACCCTTGCTCCTGTTGATATCCCACTTGGAGCATCTGCATAATCATGCTCGATTCCCAATGCTAATTAGAGTCCGCACCGGTGCCCCATCCAACGTAGCAAGTACACGTCGACCTCCATCACCTTCGGAACCACGCCTCATCCCGCTTCGGTTTATTTCGCTTTATCCTGTACCTGTCGTTTCACGCACGACAAGAAAAAAGAACGGGGATAGAAAAAATGAAGGAAGTAAATGTCGCAAAGGAAGCAGGAAGATTATGCGCGATTATGAACGAAGGATGACGAAGCTGCAAGATAATCGATCGAGCCGGCCTCCTTTGATCGCATAATTGCTTCCAACTGCTACTGTGTAATTAGTTTCCTCCAGATTCCTCGTTCAGCTGTTGCGAGCTTCTGTTTTAATTCGATATTTAATTATAGTCGGGCTTTATCACGACGATTTTCTCTAGTGAAATTAGTTAAGTAGAAAGCTACGCGGGTTGTCAGTAGCATTTTCTAATTTGCGATGATCGATGTTCGAGAATGTATTGCGTGTATGCATTTCACGGTGTTTAATTCCACGTGTCGTATTAATTGACGTTGTCCGTCACGCGAACAGGGGAATCATAGAAAAAGGTGTTATAAACGATGCATCCTCATACAGCTAAAGAAGAAATCAGCGATCATAGAAGGCTACGTTTATTTCTGTTCCTTTCAATACTCGTTAATTGAATTTGCACCCATGATTGAATCATATTTTTTCAACTTCCTGATGAGTTATTACCATCGATGTTAGTAAAATGAGGTAAGAAGCAGCTTTGTTTTTAGGATCGATCGTTTATCCTCGAGAAAAGAGAAGAAAGGTATACACGCGATAATTCTTATAAAGTAGAGAGCACGAAGTGTCGTCGACCATACGGGCAGTTCTTGTCCAGACATCCTACGATTTAAAAGAAAATTCTTCTATCTGCCCAGTGTATCGATTTGAAACCTCACCGAATACTCTAAATTTGCACAAATCCCGATTACAAAGCAACGAACTGCTGCGCCAGGAATTAACATTATCAATTAGATTCCTCCAGTACTTTCAGAGATTCTCGGCGTTACAAAATTTCTATTCGGGTCTGAATTACAGGCATTTCTAAGAACTACACAAAAAATACTAGTTTTTAAATACTTCGAAAATCTGAAACCGAAGTATTTTGCAAAATTCTTCCTCTGAAGAATTCGAGCCTAATTTTGCATATTGGGAAGCTTAAAAAACGAAGGAATTACGTGCGTTTTGTTTGCTCGTAAAGATCTCTGAGAAGTCGTCTGGAGGTTCACGACGTCGGCAGTGGAGGAAGACGAGATTGAAGGACGGGTGCAGGAAACGAAGGCTATTCAAAAACGGCGCGCTGAATATCCGGTGTCGTACAACTTACAGAGGCTGTCGGTGCGTCCTGGAACGGAATGCATTCCGGGAACGGAAACCGAGACCGAAAGGGCTTCTTGATGCTTGAGCATCTGACGACGTCTTTGCCAGGTGAAGGTCCACGCAGCGATGATAGCGATCTGAGCAACGAGGAAGACGGTACCAGCGACGATAGCCTCGCCCAAGTTAATACACATTCCCATCGTTGACGATATGTCCTCGCTTTCCACGAATACGGTGTCTCTAGTCGCCGAACTGGCGTTCGATGTCTTGCTGTCGTGCTCGAATCCGAACTTGTCCGTGATCTGAATGGATTGTACCAAAAGAAGATCGTCGCGGCTTTGAGCGGAAGAGCCAGTGGAACGACGACGACGACGTTTGCCGAAGGATATGACGGAACGAAGCTCGCCGGTGGCTTCCTCTTGATCGCACTGCACCGGCTCGCAAGTAGGCATGCAAGGTGTCACCAATGCACGGAATTGTACCACCTCAGAGCTAGGGAATTTGAAGGCGTCGAAGTGCGAGAGGAGGATCTGAAATAAAGAAGTGACATATTCGTGATTATAATAGTAATTTAGAGGTAGAGTGCGAAAGATTAATTTAACTCTCAATTAATATTTTTGTATGAGTCGAAAGGTATTTTACCTTAATTTGCATTCTGTACTTTACATGATATGGATTAAAATAAACATTATAGAGATTGATCAACTACAGACAAACCTAAGTGAACCTGTTACGTTAAAGTATTAAGGCAATAATCAGGTATCTTATAAAAAGATGATGAAAACTTTTATTTTATAATAAATTAATTGAATAAATGTAATTAATAGTCCGCGGATTTTTATACATCGGTAATGAATCGAAAGTTGCAAAAATGCACGAAACGAATATAATATCCAAAGTGGAATAATCGTTATAATTTTTAATAAGTGAAACAGATTAACGTAGGTTTCATTCCTATCATTCTGTTTCTAAAAACATGAAACTGTATAAAAATCCGCAGTCAAACAATTAATTTCAAATTGTTATTCGAGAAGTTCCGTAGAATATATCCCTTTTCTTCCGCAAAATTTTCGCGGTTGTCAAAATAGATCAAGATATATGTACGCGTGAACCGTTGAAGATTTTCTGAATTGTGAAAACAATCAAGGGGGCAAAAATGCTGTACTTCCGGAGGATTTGCAAGTCACGTGAGGAATTGTTTTGTGCCGTTATTCATCATTAAGATAATACGTCAACAGCTGTGTCAAATAACTTCTTCGGACGCAACAAAGACTTTTGCGTATTCTGATGCAATTTACCATTCATAGAAATAGCCTGGATGCTGTTAAGCACTGACGACCGCGTTCATTTCTTTCTCCTCATTCTTCATTGTAAACTTAAATTGTTTCTTCACTGAATAAAACACAATGTTTCGTAATTTTCATGGCTTTCATCTAGTACAATAGACGAATTACGATGTCATCAAACATCGATTTTACAACACGACACACGTATTGTGGAGCGTCGAAATATTATCTTTATAACGTAACGAACGTTAAACTGTAATCAGCAAGTCTACAATTAATACAGTCCTTATCTTGGTTTGTAATTAATATCTAATTAGTAGGTTTCTGATCACTTTTTGATACATAAAATTTCCAAACACAAGGATACCCCAATTCTTTAATGCGTGGTATATACTGCAATAAAATAGTATTTTGAAGAATGTAGTAATTAGATTGGAAAAACGTCTGTGAAAGATGAGCATTTACGACATTGTGTACCTTACGGGCTTCAGTAAGGGCATAACGGGGTTGTAACAATTTTACATAATTTCGCTCAGGATGATGTGTGAAATGATAATCTCGAAAATTAAAAGAGGATAATTGAGTCTAAAAAAATGAACTTTGCTTAAAAGAAATCATTGCAATGAATAAATTTATTAAAAACGAAGGATTTTAAAAACTACTTAATGAAATGAAAAATATTTGAAAAATCTGCGGAACATTTCCTCGAACACTCCGTTTATGGTCTTTGAACTTATTCAATTTCCATACGCTTGTACTTTCTCGATCGATATTCAATCAAGTTTCTTCGAATGAAAGGTAAAACCATTTATCTCCGGCGTAACTCGTACGTAAGGTGCTTCTGGACAAAGTATTTCAATATCCCGTCAATTACGGGGCGTCCACTGAAATTACGTTCGCCCTTGTTCGCGTGCTGATAAAAAAATCAGAAAGCGTTGTAGAACACAGGTATCGTGTAACACGTACAGGCGTTCCTCGTCGCACGCAATGTGCGTCATAGAAGATCGTGGCAAACTGGTTTTCGCACCTTATACCAGCCGCGTCCCAATTTTTTTCTTCTTTAAGATCTAGAGTCGTATAACGACAATTACAGAATTATGCGATGGAAAACAATTTAGTTACCCCGATTTTGTGTTGTTAGAAAATTTCCAGTCCCCAGAGATTGAAACTATTTCAATATAAATAGCACCTGTACCTAGGATCGTACCGTTTGAATTTTTCTTTTCCCTTTAGCTATGTCTTTAGACGTTTTATACTCGTTGGTAGTGTCAAACTGCTTCGATAATGTTAGCCTGTCGACGATAAGTATTCATTACTTACATTTCTCTTTTCTACGTACTTTATTTAACATGCCGTTAATATTTATTACCCTTCGTTGTAAGGATTAATAATATATTATTAGGTTGTCCGAAAAGTTTCCTTCGTTTTATAAGAAAATAATAGACCCACGATGTTTTTTACTTTATATCAGTTTATTGAATTATGCACGAACATAAATAATAGAAATAGAATGAAATGGATCATACCTAATTCAATAAAATAATATAAAACAGAAATTGTTGTTCATCTATTATCATCTTATAAAACGAAAGAAATTTTTCGGACAATCTAGTATATACTAGTCACACAGAAATATGTAATAAAGGACGAAAACTAAAGAACGAATCGACAAGTTACAAGTTTCATTTGCGTGATCAGCAATGTTGTTACTATAGTTCAAAGTAACTTGCAACTTGTGACTTGTAAAGTTTCACTAGTAATATTACTTCAATTATTCAAGAAGGTTCGGGCAGATCGTTTATTAATAACTCAAATAAAAAGAAACTTCTACTCATTCCAATTAAAAATAATAAGCGATACAAAGCATGCTATTTAAAACCAAACTCTTTCGTACTCGCTTTATAATTACAGAAACTTCCTATCTCCTCCTTTATTCCATAAAATTCTTAAGTAACTCAACAAAACACTGCAGTCTCGCGTATCATTATTCGCTCCCTATCGTTGCTAAACGTTTAACCTGTGGCGCTATAGGAAATCAATTCGTTTCATCGGTTATTTCGTTCACTTTTACTGATTCCTCATCGAACTGGGAATCGCGTTCCACGATTCACGATCGGTTTTAGTTATAAAGCGCTTAGCGCCACGCGCGTGTGCTCCTTTGAAACTGGTTTCTGCGGCGCATTACCAAGTTCACCGTATTTACACACCGAGCACGTACATTATCGGGGTAGAGGGTTCCGGGAGGGGTAAGAAGTAAGACATTAAAATATGCTTCATTCCACGTACAGCTTCATTTAGCTGTTTCTTTGGCGAACGCGTCTCGCGGAACGAGCGGAACTTTATTAACTCCATGTCAGCCGACGCTGAGAGCCCGGCGGAAAGCCTTAGAGAACGAAGGTCAGTAAAATGCGAGGAAAGAAGTGCACGGTGTATCCGCGGCATCTGGTACGGGCTGTTTCTACGTTCCTTACCAACCGGAATACACGGCAACCGTCGACGAACGTGACATCGACGACGACTGCGTTTAGTAGCAAACTCGAGAGTGATGACAGTGCTCCCGTAAAACGTAGTAGACGGAGCTGTCATAAATGTACCACGCCGTGGATCACTTCGCGTCGGTGAGGTACAGGTTCGTCCTCGCTTCCGCTTGATCCTTCATCCTATTAGTTTGAGACAGTATGCTAAAATGGATCGCTACGTGTAGTTTTATTCGCGAATGTAATTTGGGAAAGTGGATTTTTACTCTTGTGTTAGAATTGCTGTTTTGTCACTTTTTATTTGGTCACGATGTTTTTGAAGTAATACTTTTTGGCTTGTCTAAGGATAAATTTGAAAATCGGTTAACTATTTAGAGATTAGCAAAATTTAGGATGCGTAGATGAAAAAATGATAATGAATTACCGTCCAGGCTAAATAGCAGTGAAGTTTTTGTCTGAGTCTAATTATAGTTTCGTTATATGTTCTGCTTTATATTTTAATATATTATTAAAATAATTAACTTTTTTTCCTCATTTAAGTATGAATTTAGAGAGTGCATAATGTACTTTATTATTACCTTCTTGCCCATGTATTTAAAAAATTTGCGAAATAGTAGATGTCTAGATTAAACAACTATTGTGAGATATTCTCCCAGATTAAATAACTGGTTTAACACATTTAACAAAACAAGGAAATATCACGAATATGTTAAGAATTATCTTAACAACACTTAAAAACTTAAAATTTAAATGTACATATCTCTGTATAATCTTGCTTCTTATCCTTTTTTTAACATAAATAGAAAACTAACTTGTTGAAATATTCTACGTAGAGGTACCATTTACATAAACAATGAAAAACGAGAAAACAGGAAAAATACGATGGAAAAGAGGTGTATATTTTACCCGGAAGACAACTCAGAGAGTTTTGAATCATATTAATGGAAGTACTGTTACATCCAACTTATTTAATTCCTATTTAAATTTGCATATTACTTTTTACGATCGGAAACAAATAGTAATCTAACTGGAAAAATTAACCAAAATTTGAAGACGTTTGCTTTTAATTCGTAAACGTACACTCAAAGTAGGACTCATATGTCACGAAATACCTTGTATATTGTACGCTTATACCAGTGTCTACACAGAGGAGCGAGTGTGGCGGCTGAGAAATGTTTCCAATTTCATTCAAACCGGTTGTGAAATGGAAGAGCCCCGGTACCGTGGCTTGGCTACGTGACAGACATACCGGAAAACCCGATTTTTGGCAAATTCCTAGTTAGACGAGACGAATCCTTTTGCCAGGCCTTTCAGGTCCAACCGAGTGTTTCTTCCATGTTTCCTATTTCTTGCTATTTCAAGGTTAATCAAATTATCGAAGGCTACAAATAAAGGAAGCGAATCATCGATGGGTAATCTCATCGAGTAAACGAATTAAACCCTCTGATGATATTCATGGAGTTTTTTCAATTATCGTATTACGAATATATGTGTGTATTGTATTATTTACTATATATACAAGATGTTCCAGGCAAGTAAATGAAACGACAGTTCAAAGCAATTAAAGATAAAATTAAATGAGGAAAATGTAAGCTTTATGTTTTCTTTCTTAAGTTTCACAAAATTAAGCTGTAAATATATTTTCAACTAAGAATTTTCAGAGCTAAGTGACTTAATACATTTGTATAGAGAATAAATACAAAACATTAACATTTTTTTAATATTTCCAGTCTTGAGGTAATCTTTCATGCGCCATTCGAAATCATA